GGCCAACAAACATATGAAAAAAATGCTCATCATCACTGGTCATTAGAGAAACACAAATCAAAACTACATTGAGATACTACCTCATGCCAGTTAGAATGCTGGAGAGGATGTGGAGAAATAGGAACAATTTTACACTGTTTGTAGGAGTGTAAATTAGTTCAACCATTGTGGAAGACAGTTTGGCGATTCCTCAAGGACCTACAAATTGAAACTCCATTTGACCCAACAATCCCATTACTGGGTATATATTCAAAGGATTATAAATCGTTCTACTATAAGGACACGTGCACATGAATGTTCATTGTAGCACTGTTTACAACAGCAAAGACCTGGAACCAATCCAAATGCCCATCGATGATAGACTGGGCAGGGAAAATGTGGCACATATACACCATGGAATATTATGCAGCCATCAAAAACGATGAATTCATGTCCTTTGTAGGGACATGGATGAACCTGGAAACCATCATTCTCAGCAAACTGACACAAGAGCAGAAAATCAAACACTGCATTTTCTTACTCATAGGCAGGTGTTGAACAATGAGAACACATGGACACAGGGAGGGGAGCACTACACACTGGGGTCTGTTGGGGGGAATTGGGGAGGGACAGCAGGGGGTGGGGAGTTGGGGAGAGATAGCATGGGGAGAAATGCCAGATATAGGTGATGGGGAGGAAGGCAGCAAATCACACTGCCATGTGTGTACCTATGCAACAATCTTGCATGTTCTTCACAAGTACCCCAAAACCTAAAATGCAATAAAAAAAAAAGTAAAGAGGACTTACTCTTGCAACATGGGTACCAACTTCACCACAGTAAAATAAAGCACCAAGCAGACTCCTAAAGTTCCCAGTTTCCAGGCCCTAGCTTCTGGAAGGCATTTTTTAAAACCACACTGGGCCAGAAAGGAAAATATTGCCCTGAAAGTAAAGATCCAGGCCTGGCAAGATCCATTACCTGCAGATTAGAGAGCCTTTGGGTCTTGAATGAACGTCAGTAGTTGTCAGGCAATAGTCACTAGAAGCCTTAGGTAAGTACTGTGCTGGCTTCAGCTGTGACCCAGCACAGTCCCAGTAGTAGTGAATGAGCGGGTGCTTGTATCACTCCTCACCCAAATCCAGGCAACCTAGCCTGGAGAGAGACTTTGCTTATTTAGAGGAAAGTATGGGAAAAGAACAAGAGATCCTGCCTGGTAATCAAGGGGATTCTCCCAGAATTTACCAAAGAATAACAAGGTTGTACATTTATGAGTCTGCAAGAGTCATAGCATTACTAGATTTGGGATGCCCCCTAAAGCAGATGTGGCTGCAGTGATCGAGACTTAGATCACAATGCTTAATTCCCTTTGGATACCTGCAAAGCCCTTTGGAGAAAGATAGCTACAAGCAAGCTCAGACTGTGAAGATTAGAATACATAAGTAACTCTTCAGTCCTCAGACATCAGTGAATATCCACAAGCATCAAGATCATTCAGAAAAACATGACGTCACCAAACAAACTAAATAAGACACCAGTGACCAATCCCAGAGTTACAGAGATAGGTGATCTTTCAGACAGATAATTCAAAATCCTATTAGATAAATTTAACAAAGAGATTGAAATAATTAAAAAGATTCCAGCAGGAATTATGGCGCTGAAAAATTCAATTGACATACAGAAAAATGCATCAGAGTCTCTCAAATAAAGCATGCCTATAAGATCTATAAAAATAGCTTCAAAAGGGCAAATCGAAAAGTTACTGGCCTTAACGAGGAGGCACAGAGATCAGAGTAGAATGTTTATTTGATGAGATAATAGCAGAGAACTTTCAAACCCTAGGAAAATATATAATAGTCAAGCACAAGAAGGTTATAGAACACCAAGCATATTTAACCCAAATAAGACTACTGCAAGACAATTAATAATGAAACTTCCAAAGGTCAAAAATAAGATAAAGATCCCAAAAGCAGCAAGAGAAAGGAGATTACATTTAAAGAAGAACCAGCATGTCTGGCAGCACACGTCTTAGTGGAAACCTTACAGGCCGGGAGAGAGTGGCATGACATATTCAATGTGTTGAAGGAAAGAAGCTTTCATTTTAGAATAGTATATCCAGCAAAAATATCGTTATAAAATGAAGGATAAATGAAGATTTTCCTAGACGAACGTAAGCTGAGAGACCTGTCATAAAAGAAATGCTGAAGAGATTTTGCAATAAAAAATTATCTGAAGGTATAAAACTCACTAGTAATAGTAAGTACATGGACAAATACAGAATATCCTAACACTGTAATTGTCATGTGTAAACACCCATATCTTGAGTAGAAAGACTAAAGGATAAATCTATCAAAAATGATAAAGTGCAATTTTATAATACAGTATAAGAAATCTATGGAAACAAAAAAAATGATTAAAAAGCAAAGGGTATGAGGTTGAAGTGTAGAGTTTTATTTACTTATTTAAATTTATTGATTTATTTTTATTATTATACTTTAAGTTCTGGGATACATGTGCAGAGCATGCAGGTTTGTTACATAGGTATATATGTGCCATGGTGGTCCTGAATGGTACTGCTTAGGTTATCTTCTAGGTATTTTATGGTTTTAGGTCTTACATTTATTTAAGTCTTTAATCCATCTTGAGTTAATTTTTGTATAAGGTGTAAGGAAAGGGTCCAGTTTCAGTTTTCTGCAAATGGCTAGCCAATTTTCCCAACACTATTTATTAAATAAGGAATCCTTACTCTGTTGCTTGTTTTTGTCAGAGATCAGATGGTTGTAGATGTGCATAGTGTTTTTACAAGCTCTCTATTTGCTTGTTTTTTCAACCAGAGTTAAGTTGTCATAAGTTTAAAATAATTGGCTATAACATATTATTTCCAAGCCTTTTTGACCTCAAGTCAAAAATTCTGCAACAGATACAGAAAAAATAAAAAGCAAGAAATTAAAACATATTGCCAGAGAAATATACTTTTACACAGGAAGATAGGAAAGAAGGTGGAAGGATAAGACCAGAAAACATATAACCAAATGGCAGGAATAAGGCCTTACTTATCAATGATGACATTGAATGTAAATGGACTAAACCCTTCAAATAAAAGACACAGAGTAGCTGAATAGACTTTTTAAAATAACTCGACTGTCTACTGCCTACAAGTAACATAGTTCATCTATATAGACATAAGTAGACTGAAAATAAAGGTATAGAAAACATATTTGATACAAATGAAAACTCAGAATTACCAGTAATAGCCATTCTGGTATCAGGTACAATATTTTTATGACAGAAATCATGAAAAGAGAAAATAAAGGTCATTATATAAGGATAAAATGGTTAAATCAGCAAGATGATATGACAATTATAAATATATATACACCCAACACTGGAGCATCTAGATATATAAAGCAAATGTTATTAGAGCTAAGTATATATATATAAACCTAAATACAATAATACCTGGATACATCAACAGCCCACTTTCAGCATTAGATAGAGATCCAGACAGAAATTTAACAAAGAAACATTGGACTTAATCTTCACTATAGACCAAATGGACCTAATAGATATTTACAACACATTTTATCCAAAAGCTGTAAAATATATATTCTTCTCCACAGCAGATAGGTCATTCTCAAGAATAGACCATATATTAGTCCACAAAACAGGTCTTAAAACATTCAAAAATTTTGAAATAATATCAAGTACATTTTCTGACCACAATGGAATAAAATTAGACATCTATAACAAGAGGAACTTTGGAAATGGTACAGACACATGGAAATTAAACAATATGCTTCTGAATTATTAGTGGGTCAATCAATAAATTAATAAGAAATTGTAAAAAATTTCTTGAAACAAAAAAATAGAAAAACAACATACTAAAACGTATGGGATGTGACAAAAGCAATACTAAAGTTTAAAGCAATAGGTGCCTGTCTCAAAAAGTAGAAAAAGTTAAAATAATCAACCTAACAATGCATCTTAAGAAGTAGCAATCAGAGTTAAGTTATCATAAGTTTAAAATAATCCTAAGTTTAAAATATTCTTCTTTTTAGATCATATGATCTTATATTTAAAAATTATATGTAGATGATATTATCTTATATTTAGAAAAACCTAATGATTCCACCCAAAAGCTGCTAAAACAAATAAAAAAAAAGTTTATTTGGCAAACCTATGGATGCCAAATCAATGTGCAAATATCAGCAGCATTTCTATATGTTAGCAGAAAAAAAATCTGAAAAGAAATTAAGAAAGTGATAGCATTTCCAATAGCTACAAATAAAACAAAACACCTAAGCATAAACTTACCCAGAGAAGTGAAAGATCTCTACAATAAAAACTATAAAAAAATTGATGAAAGCAATTGAAGGGGGCAGAAAAAAAGGAAAGATATTTTATTTTTATAGATTGGAAGAATGAATGTTGTTAAAATGTCCATACAACTCAAAGCAATCTACAGATTCAATGCAATCCTAACAAAATACCAATATTAGAAAAGCAAGAGCACACCAAACCCTAAAGTGGTAAAAGAAAGGAGATGATAAAGATCAGAGCAGAAATAATAAAATTAAACAAAATCAACAACTTTTGTACAGACTAAGAAAAAAACAGAGAAGACTGTTAAATAGTTAAATAAAATCAGTGATGAAAAAGGAAGCATTGCAATTGATACTATAGAAATTAAATAATTATTAGAGAGTACCATGAACAAATATATACCAATAAATTAGAAAACCAAGACAAATGAATAAAATTCTAGCTACCTGCAACCTACCAAAAATCCAAAACCTGAATAGACCAATAACAAGTAACAGGATCAAAGCTATAGTAAAATGTTTTCAATGAAAGCAAAGCCCAGAATCCTATGTAACAAACATTACATGAAGAAACAACACTAACCCTACTCAAAATTATTTTAAGAAGTGACGAGGAGAGAATGGTTTCAAATTCATTCTTTGAGGCAAAAAAAAAAAAAAAAAAAAAAAAAAAAAAAAAAAAAAAAAAAAAAAAGAAAAAAAAAAAAGAAAACTCTCATGACATGAATGCAAAGATCCTCAACAAAATACTAGCAAACAGAATTGAACAACACATTGAAAAGGTATTTCATAATGACCTAATGGGATTTACTCCAGCAATGCAAGGATGATTTAACATACACAAATCGATCAATGTGATAAATCATATGAACAGGATGAATGATAAAACTATATGATAATTTTAATTAATGCTGAAAGAGCATTTGATTAAATATCCCTCCATGACTTTAAAAAAAAGCCTTAAAAATTGGGTACAGAAGAAACACACCTGAATATAATAATATCCACATATGACAGACCTACAACTAGCAATATACTAAATGAGGAAAAACTGAAAGACTTTTCTCCAATATTTGGAACAAGACAAGAAGGCCCACTCTCTCCAATGTTTATCTACATGATACTGAAAGTCCTAGCTACAGCAATTAGACTAAAGAAATAAATAAGGCAGGGCGCGGTGGCTCACACCTGTAATCCCAGCACTTTGGGAGGCCGAGGTGGGTGGATCATGAGGTCAAAAGATCAAGACCATCCTGGTCAACATGGTGAAACCCTGTCTCTACCAAAAATACAAAAATTAACTGGGCATGGTGGCACGTGCCTGTAATCCCAGCTACTCAGGAGGCTGAGGCAGGAGAATTGCCTGAACCCAGGAGGCGGAGGTTGCGGTGAGCCAAGATCGCGCCATTGCACTCCAGCCT